GGTTGAAATGGAAAAAAATGGTCAGTGCAAGATGTTCTGTTACAGTTTGGTCCAAATTCAACAGTATACTTTCCTCCCCACTTCTGCAAAATGAAAATCCACAGAATAATTAGTCTATGGGCCTCTGTAGACCCCCTCAGGTGATATTTAGTCCATGTGCGTATTTTTTCTACGGATTTTGGAATCTCACCGTCAAATGATTGTCCCATGTAACGAGAGTCTGTTTACATATATGTAATGCTTCACGATATGAATTGATTATAGTATGCTACATTTGTGTCGGCTGTCAATGAAGGACATTTTGAGGTTTCACAATACATTGTACTAGACTAATATGAAAATAAAATAACTGTATCACATACCTGCATCACGCTCAAATGACATGTAAGAAACAATACATTTTACATGCGTAAAATGTCGCAAATCAATATCGAACAAAACGCGACAATTGTGACTATTTATAAATATGTATTCGCATCAAATAAAAGTTATACCAGTCCTAATTATTCCTCTTACATATGCAATAAGTACGAAAACGTGTGATTTTTGTTGGATTGCTGGAGCAATAATTGTTTAATAATAACGATTATTTTCAAAAGAACAGATTAGGAAATGTGTTATATATTCTATCAGCAAAGCCCGTCTAACAATTCTGAATTTTACTATTTAATTTTACATTTAACAGCTTTTTTATATTAGTCTTTCAACTAGATTTACTCCATCCCCAAGTCGTAGTTATACACTAAACCACAGGCCACTGGACTGTGACGAAATATTTATTTAAACATTATAACGCAAGTGCACAGAAAACAAGACGTGGCTGACCAGTTAGCTGAGTTAATTGTATGAGGTGAGCAGTCACCTGACTGTCTTGTATAAAATTAAAGGAAAGACGTTTCTTATTTGATTGTGCTTATGAAATTTAAATTAAATAATTTCTAATGTTGAAATGCTGGAACGTGAAGCACAGAGTTCAAATAGAGCAAACGAAAATCAGCACCTAGACTAATGGTACAAATTTCCCTCACCCACATCTCCAAGAGATGAACACATACACCAATAGATGGAACATATACATCAACGATGACATACAGGTAATCAGAAAACCTTTGTAGCTTCTGTTTAGGAGTTGAGATATCAAATATACTTGCATAATGATCAGTCAATTGTTTTCCTAAATATTTCTTTCAATATGTTCATTGGGTACAGTTTTGATTATAAAATTTACCAAATGGCAAAGCTATTGTAATCACACTGTTTTCTATACTATAATAAACATTAACAGTACGTGCATACACCATCTAGTATCCAGTGTTATGTCATTATATATCATCAACGTTTCAAAGACAACTGTATACAAAACCCGGGAAAATCTATTGAAGGAAGCTCCACAGCCTATCGTCGCTGATGCGTCAGTATACATGTTAGGTACAGCCGTCCATGTAGGTTGGAGGAATGATGCGGTGCCCTTCCAGGATGGGAGAAAGTTGCACCACCATGTAATGTCCAGCCCGAATTCGTCTGACAGGTTGATGATTTGAGTGAGATGTGGTGTTGTTGTGGACAAGTCAATCATGCGTCTGAGAAAAATGTGGCCGGCTCAAATACACTTGCATGCAAAGCTCAGGGTGCCGATGAGTTGATGCTTAGTACATGACCGTCTGTTGAGCCACTTGGGTAGCGCTTAGGTGAGATCAGTCATTTTTTCATTTTTACTTGACAGTCTTATGACCATGGCATTGCTGTCAAGTTAGATGCCAAGAAAGGATTTTTTTCTTTCTCAATGAGTACACCCAGATGGTCGCATGTGTTGAGCATGATGTCCTTGATGTGTTGGCACTTACCAGTTTTAGGTCGGCCTACCGCGAAGAAGGACTCTATCAAAAAAGTAGAAGCGCTGCCACTTGTAACAGAGAAAATGCCAGTCTCTTTTCTAACCGGGCACACTCGAAATGTTTCATGATAAGTGCTACTGCGTCATCTATCATGGAATAGGACAATGAATAATGGTCTTTGTTGATGAAAGTGTTTACACTGTCACCAGTTGGTTATGATAAGACGAGTTGACCACC